ACATATATATTTTTCAGATTTTTTTGAATTCTTTTACTTGCTTTTTTTTTTTTTTTTTTATTCCAGGAGACCCGAACCCTCGCCACGGGCAAGGCGTTATTTCGTTTTTTTTTTTTTTTCCTTTGGAACAAGAGGCCTCCGGTTACTGCCACGGAGGGGCAAGGCTTTACTCTAGTTCCTTGGCTCCCTGACATGAGAAATTGAGGTCCGAGCCCTCCTTTACTCTGGGCTCCCTGACATGACAAACCTGACATGAGAAATTGAGGCCCGAGCCCGAGCCCTCGCGAGGGGCATATTTCATGTCTGAACTCGTGTATAGCGATTTTTTTTTTTTTCCCCCTTGGAGTGTTTAAGGCTTTTTAAGGCTTTTCTCTATAGTGAGTTTAAATTTCATTTTCAGTTAAATATTGAATCCAGGCTTTTTTTTCTGTCTATTGTTGCCAGGCTCCCTGTCGGTAGAGTAGCCCCCGCCCCTCTGACTATCGTCTTCACCTGTATAGCTCGACGCCCTCAAATTATCGCTGTATGTCTATAGACTCAGGGTTGCCCCTAATATACAGAGCTATAGCTGTCTCTTATACACATCTAGATGTGTATAAGAGACAGGTAGTGATGTGACAATATATATATTTATGTCACAGCCCCTCGTTTGTTGTCCTCTTCTCTCTCTCTGCCTACGGTTTACCGGGCAGTTCTGTTTGTGACGATATATATGTATATAGAAATTTGTGTAGCGTATACATGTATAGGCATAAAGATGCATATATGTCTGTACACATATTTCTATAGACATAGTATAGACGACTACTACACCTCGCGTTCTTGGCCTATACTCTCTCTGAAGTCGTAAGTTCAGCAGCTTGAGTAAGAAACATCGATCTAGTGTAAAACATCGATCTAGTGTAAAACATCAATCTAGTGTAGCGCATCCGTCTAGTGTATAACATCGATCTAGTATGTAGAACTATAGCTTGCGTTTTTTTTTTTTTTTTTTTTTTTTTTGGGTAATTGCAGTTTTATATTAAAGAAAAACAGAGCTTGTGGAGTTTATCAATTGATCCAGTGTAAATAATGGCCTGCGTGTTTTAACTGGACTTAAATGACGAGATCATGAAGATGTGTGAGAGAGAGAGAGTGGTACAGGCGCGGTGCGAACGACCGAGATTCACAGCGCGGTGCGAACGACCGAGATTTCACAGCTTTCGTCGATAAGGTGTTCGATTGTTATTAATATTATTATTATTATTTTTTTTTTGTAGGGCTTTCCACGATCGATGAAAATTTCGAGTTCCTGTTCCAACGATTTTTTTTCTTTTTCCCACGATGTTTTTTTCTTTTTTTCCAACGATTTTTTTCTTTTTTTCCCACGATTCATTTTTCTTTTTTTCCAACGATTTTGTTTTCTCTTTTTCCAACGATTTTTTTCCCCTTTTTTTCCAACGATTTTTAGATGTGCAGAAGAGGTATGTTAGATCCGTTGTTTGCTCGAGTGATCCGCGCGAGCTGGAAAGTTTCAGGTTTCTGTTTGTACATGTACTGCGCAAATTTCGTTTGCAGTGGGAGGGGGAGGTGTTTTCAACAATCGATGAGACTTTTCTAGATGTGCTAATTAGTGTTCGATCTGCAGGGCTTTCGACGGTGTCCGATGACCGAAATTTTTATTTGAAAGCTTCTTTGGCTCGGTAGATCTGTGTCTTCGACCTCTATGGCTTTCAGCGTTTTCGTTGTTTTTTTCTTTTGGGCCATTTTTTTTTCTCGATTTATGCGTATTTATGCGTGTCGTCCTTGCGCAGAGGCTATGCTAATCTTCATTCTCTGTATTGATCGATCCAATTTTAACGGATGTCCCCAGGGACCAGCGGTTGATGTGTTATTTAAAAAACCTGTTTTCAAATTGTGAGATATTTTTTCTGATCTTCAAACAGTCTTTTCTCGATCTGCCGAGTTTCTCTTGACATCGTCCCGATGGTTTAATCTCTCTCGATCCCCCTTTTTAGTAATGGACCCTGAGCCCTGTTTCCGGTATTGTGTATAATCCAGCCTTAGCCACTGGGCCTGTTTTTCAACCAAAAAAAAAAAAAAGAATCTGACCGTTTTCATGCGTTGTGTACAATCCAGCCTTAGGTACTGGGCCCCTTCCCCCCCTCCTCCTCCCCTCCCCCCCCCACACAAACCCCACCCCCCAAAAGAAAATGAACCTGGCAACCGATGACCGCGGGTTCATGGTTTTGTGAATAAATAATCCAACCTTAGGCACTGAGACCGTGTTCCCCCCCTCCCCCCCCAAAAAAAAGAAGAAAAATTCCCAAAAAAAGAAAACAAAAAAAAACCGGCAACCGATGACCAGGTTCATGCTTGCGAAGCACAGGCATAGCTGCATTATGGCCTGCTCCAAAGGGACGCTGGCAGTGGTTCTCAAGAGAAGAGCTGATGCCCCTGACCAACAGACGGAGCCCTCACTCATTTAGAGAGTCAGATAGCAGAGAGAAAAGACGCATCGTCTTGGGGGTCAAGGAACAGACCCGCTCATCGTCTTGGGGGTCAAGGAACATACCCTCTTTTTCCAGATATCTGCAAGGCAGCAGAATCCTTGGTATTCAAAGCAAATATGGCTAAGGGAAAAAAGAAAAAAAAACTAGGTTTACTATGGGTTCATAGCATCGATATTTCACGATGGAGGCCGGCCCTGACGTGACTACGACGAGAGGTTATTATAAATTAACGTGCAAAAAAAAAAAAAAAAAAAGGTTCACTTCACTATCCGGACGAGGTTTTAGAGTCCCTCCCGAGGATGACAAGCTCTTTTTTTTTTTTTTTTTTTTTCCTTTTTAGATTGGATGAGCTGGTTAAGAACATTATTGTGCCTGTTTGTTGTTTTGATGGCTGCTGCCACTTGTTTATGTATCAGGACGAGTTTGGGCTGGTCAGAACATTTCCAAGGTGGGAAATGCACGAATTCGAGAGGCATTTCAGCGTGCTAATCGCTCGCCCCCTGAGCCCGTTGCAGTTCTGGACACGCAGCTACTTCTTCAGAAGTGTTTTGGGAAAAGGGCAGCGGAATTGAAGGTATGTTCTCTTTTTTTTTTTCTTTTTTCTTTTTTGAAGGTATGTTCTCTTTCTCATGGCTATCTCCTTTTTGACTCGAGAGAGACGACTGGCGATATGAGCCCCGCTCGTTTACAGAACACTCACTCGACATGTGTCTGAACTATGTCAACGTCAAGGTGCGTTCAAAATGTCTCTCTCCGTTGAATGCATCTGGTGCAGAGAGGCGTCCAAATGCATGCAGAGTGTTGGACCGAGAGCCTTTGTTTACGTATGTACAACGGAATGAGAGAAAGGAAGATGTATAGCATTTCAATGAAAGGCAGCAACGGGCTATAGGAATTTGGCTATTGATTCAGAGTATTCGCTTGAGTCGAGGCAGCCTTTGAGTCGTCGAGACAGGAATCCCATTTTCAATTAAAAGGGGACGAGTGGAGATGGGTAAGACTGTACCCCGGGGCCAAGTCCCACTAGCAGCGTTGAGCTACCTCAACGCCTGAATCTGGACGTGTTTGTGGAGACGTGCATTATAGGAAACTCAACACCATTTCTGCACATCTCCGCAAAAGCGTCCAGATTCAGGCGTTGAGGTAGCTCAACGCTGCAAGTGGGACTTGGCCCCCGATGAGGAGAAGGCAGCTTAAAAAAAAAAAAAAAAGCGTCCCTGTCGACGGAAAAAACATTCTCAGAGTCGCAGCAACTATTATGTAATAATATTTCCCTTGGAAACGCGGAGGGACTCTATGGGCCTCGCTCCACTACTCGCTACATGCACAAAAGGCAAAAGATATGGTGATGTATCTTCCCATGTTCTTGCGAAGATTCATTCTCATTTTGCACGTTTGGTAAGTAGTGAAGCGAGGGCCTATGTATGGCAGAAGCTGAATACCACTAAACACTTCCGTCGTGCTGAAAGTGAGGAGGGACCTCAGGCAAGACTCTCTTACAGATTTGAAGTCTGGCAGCTTCAACGAAGCAGCCGGCATGGCTCAGTGGTAGAGCGTCTGCTTCGTAAGCTGAAGATCGTGAGTTCGATCCTCACTGTCGGCATCAGGGTATCGTTTCGTTTTCGACTCGGCTCGTGCTGAGCCGGGGACAAGTCCCGCTAGCAGCGTTGAGCTACCTCAACGCCTGACTCTGGACGTGTTTGTGGAGACGTGCAGTTCAACAAACTGAACAGAATCTCCGCAGAAGCGTCCAGAATCAGGCGTTGCGGTAGCTAAGAACGCTGCTAGTGGGACTTGGACCCCAAGGGTGTCTACGATTTTCTAGATCGTTGCGCGGTAACGCGAGGCCCTAAAACGAGAAGTGGTGATTTATTAGGACCTCGCGTTACTGCGCAACGTCGAAAAAGGGGAAGGTTAAAAAAAAAAAAAGAAGGGTTTGAATTAAAACGAAAAGAAAAACGAAAGGCGTAACTTTTGGAAACGAACGAAGCTTTAGGGCCCTCTCCCTCGGGTCATGAGGAGTCGAGTCGAAAACGAAACGATACTGCGATGCCGACAGTGAGGATCGAACTCACGATCTTCAGCTTACGAAGCAGACGCTCTACCACTGAGCCATGCCGGCGGAACAAGCATCATGTTTCAGGAAAATCCTGATATTCCATTGTTCAGTGTTATCAGGAGTCACTTTTTTTTTTTTTTTTTTTTTATAATTTTATTCAGGAGTCACGTTACGAAGCACTCACACCATTTGACCACTGAAGACGTATCTGACCTGGGAAATGAACTCATGTTCGCACGTGTCAGCTAATGTAACCGACGATGTAAAACACAGCGACAGCTAAATTAAAATTTAATGAACGATGGAAAAAACAGGTATCAGATTGAGAACATGTGGTGTACTACTGGTAGCAGTTTGCTTGATAAGCTGAGTCGTGGGGCTCACGCACTGTAAGTTGTACCCCACTCTGAAAGCGGAACTGTCCTGCTGCCGCCGCCAATTGACCCTTTTTTTTAAACGAATTATTAGAAAAGAAAATCGCAGGACTTTCCTGTTCTTTTTCTATTTTCCTGCACCAAATAGCCTGTTGGCATACTCGACACTGGCACTTCTTAAATACACGTTTTTAAAACGGCCATATATAGGGGGAGTTGTAAGGAAGAAGATTAAAAATGAATTAAGTTTTTCTTGTTTCTGTTTTTGCTTTGGCCCTCTGATATCATGTATGGAAGCGATCTTTCCGGTCCGGTACAGCCATAATGAGGGTGCGTTGTGTCCGGGGGAAGACGGTAGTTAGAATTCCTATCTGAATTTAGGCAGGCCAGCATACTAGGCAGCTGCGGTCATGCGCTTAGTTTAGCCAACGTGCTTTTTACTTTTAGGAAAGCCAAAAATAAAAGGAAAAAAGTGTCGAAAAATATTAGGACAGGCAGGCCTGTCTTCTCTTAGGAAAGCCACAGAAGAAAAGCAAAGCGTAACGACTTGATAACATGAAAGAGAAAAAAAAAAAAAAAAAAACATGAAAGAGAGAATCACAGTCTTCCAGACAGAGGAAAGCAGAGTCCCATTGTCGCCTCTTTTCCAGTACTCTAGAAGGTACTACGCCTTTTGTGGCATTCCTAAGAGAAGATATGCCTGCCTGCGGTCATAATGTTTTCGACTCTTTTCTCTTTTATTTTTGGCTTTCCTAAGAGAAAATTCAGGTTGCCTAAGTTAAGTGCATGACCGCAGCTGCCTACTACCGTCTTCCCCCGAACATAACGCATCCTGAAAATGAACGTATGCAAACTATATTTCCGGTCCGATACAGCCAAGATGAAGGTGCGCTGTGTGCGGGGGAAGACGGTAGTCTGTTGGCCGGACCAGGATCGTGGCCTGGTTCAAAGAATGACGTCTTTCTGTTTTTACGAAGAACCGTGCTAAGGGCATGTATACTCACACGACGACTTTTTAACTTTCTTTTTTAATGGACGTGATTGCGGCCAGATGCATCCAGGCCTATAGCTGTAATTGAAATCAGATGCATTTCGGAAAAGTGGTACTGTCTTCACCCCAATATAACGCCCGGCCATTATAGCTGTATTTGGGGCATTTCTCAGTCCAGATGCAGCGATAATGACCGGGCGTTCTATTCGGGTGAATACGAAAGTGTGCGTAAGCCCCAGGATGGGTATAGTAACTATAGTTTACATTGGTGGTGCATGCAAGATTTCGTTTTTTTTTCTATACAGAAGGGGAAAAAAAAAACAAACAGAAAAGGCGGGTGGCAATGTAGATTCTCACGTTTGCTGGGAATCTCTTCAGATGGAAGAGACCGTGGTCGTTCAGAAATGCAGAAAGAAAAAAAACGCAAAAACGGAGCTAACAAGGGGCCTCGCTACACCGCCATATATATTTTTTGAATTTTTTTATTTTGTGCATTGAGTAGTGGAGCGAGTCCCCGTCCTTCGGGACGTCCGTTAAAATTGGAACGATATATATATGGAGAGAGAGAGAGAGAGAGAGAGAGAGAGAGAGAGAGAGAGAGAGAGAGAGAGAGAGAGAGAGAGAAAGAATAACATGGCCTCTAGCACGGCCTCTGCGCAAGGATGACACCCATAAATCGAGAAATTGTCAAAAAGAAAAAGTAAAAAAAAGTAAAAAAAAGTAAAGAAAGTAAAAATAAGTTGAACGAGTCCCAGCTGATAGAGGGAACAGTGTCTCCGGCAGGAGAAGGAAGGAAAAACAGGCGCCCTTTTTCCGACGTCATTTTTGTGTGGCTTTTCTAAGAGAAGACATGTGAAGACGGCCGAGTCCAGATCGGGCTACATGCAGGCAGCATTACATCTTGTTATATATTTTTGTCTTTTTACGTCTTTTTACGTCTTTTTACGTCTTTTTACGTCTATGTCTTTTTATGTCTTTTTATGTCTTTTTGTCTTTCATGTCTTTTTATGTCTTTCATGTCTTTTTATGTCTTTTGTAATTCGAACTGTATACCTGCATGCGAAACACTGCAAACAAATTTGGTGGGTTGAACTACCGCCTACTACCGCGAAATAAACTCACGGTCATTATATCTGCATGTGGTGGAAATACAGTCTAGGGACGGGGCCATTGTATCTGCATGTGGTGGAAATAGTCTTAGATACGGCCATAATCCCACGGTCAGTATATGTGCATTTGGGTGTGAAGCTGGTCGCCGACGTCAAGGACACTGACCTGAAAAGGAAAAAAAGACAAACCACGGTGTTTGGTCTTTGCTATTTATAGGAAGATGAGTGTCCCATGGAGGATGCATAATGCCAGGAAGGACCGTTTCATTAACTCTTTATTCTCTCCTATTAAGACTGTATTCTCGTTCTATGACTTGCTGCCAACGAATCTGTACCTGATTATGACCACCAACGAATCTGTACCCGATTATGACCACATTCGGTCGGTTACTTGAGTCCTATTATGTGTAAGGCCTTGAGCCGCCCTTCGTTCCCCAGGTGAAAAAAAATCGGTTGCGCGGAGTACTGCCTCAATTCTACTTGCTATAAAAAAAAAGAAAAAAAACAGGAACTGTTATCTTTTTCTTTTTTTGGGAAACTACGCGGGAGTCACAAAAAGAATTTGAAAATACGGGCAAATTTCATAGCGAAGTAGAGGTTGAAGTCATATGCCAAGAGAAAATAATGGCCTAACTTTCTCCAGGGTCATGCTCACGCCCGGCGTGTGTTGATGACAATGGTGGGGCCATCATCTGAAATTGAGGCCCGAGCAATTCGCAGGGGCCGAGTTGACATAAGGTTCCATTCGAATTGTCAAGGCTGTAGTCTAGTCCCCAGGCTCCCTCTCATTAGAATGAAAATGTTATGTTTCTCCGCCCCCCAAAAAAAAGGAAAAAAAAAAAGAGGCCCGATCCCTCGCCAGGGGCAAGGCGTTACTTTTTTTTTTTTT